GTGCCACCATTCCCTGCCTAGGCAATAAAACGCAAGGGACGACCCTTCTCCGCCTCCGGGGCTGCTGCAGGCAGGCCAGCGAGGTCCCGGCGTGCTGCCTAGGACCCTCAGGTCTCTTGCGCTGCCAGCAGGGACACCGCTCCCGGGGCCCGTTCCCAAGTGAGATACGCCACCGCCATCTATCGGACAGCGCTCGGGGACAGGGAGCAACACCCGGGGGCTCTGCAGCTGGTGTCGGCTCGGTTCGGGCGTGCCCGAGTGCCCCTGCAAGGCTTGGAGGGCTGCAGGGCATCCGGGCAGGGTCTCGTCTCCCCGCTGGGGACGGCAGTGGGACAGGCTGGACATCGGAAAGCCTGGGCTGGTGGCGTGGGCTCTGAGCAGGCTGGTGTCTCCCTGCGGAACCTGGGGTCACCCGACCCACGCACCGGGCAGCATCGCTGGAGCTTGTGCGAGCAGCAAAGGCAAGCACCCACCCCTGCCTCCACTGCGGTGGGAGAGCTGGGGACAAGGCTAGTGTCCCAGCCTCTACCCGCCACGCAGGTCCCTTTCTAGAAAGCAATGCTTCGTGCTCTGTGTTCTTTTAGCTGAGCACAAGCATCCTGTGTGTCTCTGTGGGAGATCCAGCAGATTTTCAACTCTGATTATTTTCCCTGTCCCAAAGTGGTGCAATTCACCCAATTCTGGGAGCAGCTCCTAAAACTCCTGGCAGCTCCCTGGCACTGCCTTAGCTTCCAGCTAACATGTTCACCCCCTGCAAGTTCTTGCCCAAGGACACGTTTGATGGCTTTGGTGTCCAGTGCCTGATGCCTGTCACAGCTGCACCCTCACCAGAGGGAGCTGTGTCCCATGCAGAGGCACAGCCCAATATTGGCCCTATTCCCTACCTTTTTTATAGCTCTTGGCAATGCTCCAGGTGACATACTGCTCAAGTCTAACGGACACCCAAAGGTGCCAGGGACAGAGAAGGCTGCTTGGATTTGCATTTCTCTTGGCACCCACCTAGCTATGCCAGGCATGTTTGGTGCCCTGCCGGGAGGCTCTTATGTCAGTTCCCATGCCATAGTGTCTTGGGAGGCTTTGCAGGGTTTCTCTGGGGCTAGCACTGGCCACCAGTGCAATACGCTCACTGAACCAGCAAGGTTAGGGACAGAGCCCTCACCAATCTCCTGGAATGGCCCTTCTTTCAGCTGCTTTTGAGAATGATTCCAGAGCAGGCTCAAGTGTCACAGCAGGCTTGAACTGTCCCCACTGCCCTCACCCATGTGCACTTGGGAGAGTGAGCCCTGCTGCCACTCCTATGCCAACCCCATCCAGCCCAGGGGCATCTCTTCTCTCTCCTCTGCCACCTCCCTATTGCAACATATCAACTGCCTGCACCCCAGCTCCAGCCAGGCACCTTCTTCCCAGGACCACTTTGCAGCCTCTTGTTGGGGGATTTTGACATGTAACCCTGCAATGTCTGCCCATTAAAGCAGACATGCTAAGAGAAGTCCCAGCCCAGCCTGGGGGATTGCTTCCTCTGGTGGTTCTTTACAGCCAAGAAGACAGGTTTT